CCCGATGGAAACATTTACAAACAAGTTACCATAAAGAGTCATCAATCTGCACATTAACCTCTTACTTGGAGGAGGGTAAAGGGGGGATTATGCTATTCTCTATTATAGGGTTTGGAGAAGACCAAAGAAAGTGGAAAAAGGAGGAAAGGGAAATAGCCTCTTTCAAAGCAGAGTATAGGAGAAATTAGCCAAATCCTAACAGAACAACTTCATAATTGCTTCAATTATTGTCTGCTGTCTCCTTTATGACTGGAAAAAAAAGACATGGAGCGAGAGATTCGAGACCTGTGAAAGACAGAATGACTCATCATGAGCTCCCTGAGTTGGAAATCTAAAGAGTCACTGTGTTGAAACATCTGGAAAGACATCTGTCTAAAGAAATGACTGATTGGCTTTCTACTTTTCCTGAAAGAAGCAATGGAAGCCAAAGCTGCTGTATTTATTTCCATGGAGCTGTGTCACTGTATTTGTGTGTATTTACATGCATCAGGCATTTAGCATAGCTCCAGCAGTTACGGGACACTCCATCTTCTCAGCTTGTGCAACTCGGTATGTGTCTCGTGCCACCATACTAGGGAGCCCTGGGTGGCTTCACTTATTCATGCCATGTGTATACTTTAGCCAAACAAGGCCTAAGGACACTCCGGGGTGGTACAGAGGAAGGAGGGGCGAGGAAGCTAAAGGCGAGGTAGTGTGGTCTTATGGTTGAAGCCCATGATTTAGAGGCTGTTGATACTGGGCAGACAGCCCAGGCTCAGTCACTGACTCACCACGGATGACGCTGCATAAGTCACTACACTTAAAATGTCCTCATGTGTTTAGATCTGTTCAAGTGGAAATCAGGCACACTTGCACAGCTGGGAATGGCTACTGGATCTGATTTTCTTGTTTCTCTCCTGCTTTTCCCTGAAGCTTTCATAAACAGATGGCAGAGGCTCATTAAGCTGTTGTCAGAACTATTAATGACATTGTGAACACTTTCCGAGGTCTGTATGCCTTAAGGCGCGCGATTGCCAAAGCAGGGTCATTAAAGAAGGTGTGAGAGTAACGCAATGCTGCTGTGTGCTGCAAGGTGAGGGATGGATGCCATGAAAGAAAAGTACACACATGGTTGGACGACTGTTAAGAGTGAGCTGACATTAATGATTTCATGTTTGCAGTGGAGGGGAGAAAAATGAAATAACGTCATGTGATTTCAGCGCCGTAGGAGTGCGCTGAATGATTTGACTGTGCAGTGCATACTGTATGTATGAGCTGTATGTGCTTTGATTCTGGGGCTTATACCACTGTTAAATCAACCAAGTAATTTCATTCAGATAATAGCTTTGTGTTGCCTTTTGTTTTAAAAAGTGTGAACTGTTCAAATCCAAACAAATAAGTAGGGCTACTTCACCAGAACTACATCTTTAGCAGGTGGATGACTGTTTCTGTGACTTTCTAAGACCAATTATCTGACATTGTGATGGTCATACTTTTACTAGCTACATTTATTATGGTTATATGAATAAGGCAGAAGGGGAGCAGTATTTTTCAAAAAGGCAATATCTTTTAGGCTGAAACAGAGATATAATCTAAAAATGTTCACTGCTATATCTGTACTGGGATTTTTGATGTGGTCAGATAGGATAGGGTATTATTCAATCTACAAGAAGCACTGACAGTCTAATTGTGATGACTTTGTGAAGCGATGTTAGAGCCCTCCTGAAATCTCCTTTCTCTCTTGATCAATAATACTAAAATGCTGATTTTAGGTAGGTGAAATGTTTATCGTATTCACCCTCATAGTATTCCATCTTAGTATCTCAGTAGGTTGGGTTGCCAAATGCTGCCCCTTTGTCTTTTGTCTTGTCTCCCTCCCCTCGCTCCCAGTCAGTTGAGGCAGATGTCTGCCCCTCACTTAGCCTGGGTCTGCCGCAGGTTTCTTCCTGTTAAAAGGGAGTTTTTCCTTTCCACTTTTGCCAAGTGCTTAATAAGAAGTATTGATTGTTGTTTTTTTGTATTTTTGTTGGGCCTTTACCTTGCAAAATAAAACGCCTTGAAGCAACTGTTATTGTGATTTGGCGCTAGTAAATTGTCAAACCTGCACACGTCAGCAAATTATGCACAAGGTGTCCTTTGTTGTGCTCTGTCTAACGAGTTGGTCCATCAGTAGCAACTCAACACATATGGATGCCTGTAAACGATGCTTTTATGTCACATTTAAATTCATGCAGAACATTTTTCAGCACACAGGACTAATGGTCTAGTCATTGCGATACAACAAATGAACTAATCATTTGATTCAGGTGTGTTGACCCAGGGCAATATCTAAAACCTGCAGGACACCAGCTCTCGAGGCCTGGAGTTGGCCACCCCTGGAATAGACTTTAATAAGATGTGTGGATATAATCAAAGTGTTTGTCAGAGAGAAAGTGATTTTTAGGACACCCGAGCCTAATATTAGCTGGCATAATGTTAGCTAATGATAACTAACTGCTGTTATTAGGTCAGATCGTTGTCAGCTGTCCAAAGTCGGGAGGGTCACATGTGTAATCTGCTAAAAATAAGTAATTGCGACAATATTGGCTATATATAAACAGAGTGCACACAAATAAAAATTTACCTCCATGGCACTTAAACCCCTACGACTACTTCCTCTTTGGCCGGTCTCCAGCCACAAACATAAAACACAATTAGGCAGAATGGTGACGTCTATATCAGCCGCTGTATACAAGACAGTGGGTCAACATGACAGGTTCTACAAACGTGCACCCTTTTTAATGGTTGAATTCTGAGTTTGTTAGAAGATGTAATTACACACTTATTAATGTATATTTATGAGCACAGTATCCTGTTCTTATGTTAAATAACTTCCAAAAACAACTGACTGCACCTTTAACTCAGAGCAAATGATCTTTTACTTGAACCAACCAGATCTAAAGCAAGCAAACACCACAAACTCACCACAAACAAAACACAGTTGCCGTAAGACTGCAAAAGTACGCCGGAAACATTGTTTTCACTCCAAATAGTCAGACTGCCTCTTGGAAAATGGAAAAAAGTAATAATAATATTGTACAACATAAGTCAAATACATGTTTGTGTTGTTTTTTTAAAATGGATTTTATAATGAAATGGCTGCAATCAGCTGCCCAATCCTAAAGGGAACACTGACATGCGTACCTAATCTGAATAAAAAATAATAAAGCCTATTTTTATAGCATTTAGCAAAACCAGCATTACAAAGAGCTTCCCAGAAACACAGAATAAAAGAACAACTACCACCCCCCCAAACAAAATTAAAAATCTGTTCTAAAATTTGATATAATTTGTTGCATGAATGAGTCTTTAGCAGTAATTTTTAAAGAAGAAGCGTTATAAAGAATTAAGCCGGACTTCCTGAGGCACAACTGAGAAGTCCTAACAGGAAAAGCTTGATTGCCTTTTAAGTTTGAGGTGGGAACAGTTAACAGGTTTCTTCCTTAGGATCAGAGGTTGTGTAATGGTTAGTACAAGTACTGCAGTTTGGGTATAAAATCTGGGCCAGACAATGAATGGCTTTATAAGTAATAAGTAAAATATTTAAATCCTTTCAAAAAGTAATGGGCAGCCAGTATAGAGTCATTAAGACTGGAGTAATATCTTTTCGTGGCTCTTGTAAGAAGTCTGGCTCCTGCAAATCTCAAGTCTGTTAATGTCTTCTGATTGATATTTATTGAAAGACAATTACAATAATCTAACCAAGAAGCAATAAAAGCATGAATGATAGTCTAAGTGTTATTAAAACTATTGATCATGTTTCTGAGATGTTCCTCATGTGGGAGTATCAGGACTGGCTGAACTTGTTTATATGTTTGTCAAAGTTGAGATTAGAATCAGATAATACTGATAATCACATGGCTGCCACTCCCTGAGCCTGGTTCTGTCAGAGGTTTCTTATTATTAGAAGTGAGTTTTTCCTTCCCACTGTCACCAAAGTGCTTGTTCATAAGGTCATCTGATTGTTGGGGTTTTCTCTGCACTATTATAGGGTCTTTACCTCCCAATCTAAAGCACCTTGAGCTTAATTTTTGTTTAAATGCACACACATGCATTTCTTAATATGAAGTCAGAAACATCTATCCATAAAGACCACAAAAGATGGACCTAGCTTGCAAGAAAAGTGAAGCCTGGACAGTGCTTTTAAACTGCATTCTTTTTAACAGCCACTAGGTGGCGATGCCCTTGATTGCAATAGGACCTATTAGAAATCAGTGGAAAAACAGTCCTGGACTTGACCTCTGTTGGCACTTTCATAATGAGTTTATAGGCTCAGCAACTAATCTGTGACCATACTGAATGAAAATTTATTTTTAAAGTTTCAGGAAGGAAGGCTTTCTGGGATGATGCTCATTGGATAATGACTTGTGACTGACAAGTTGGTAGCTAATGAGTGTGAGATTTCATAGTCAGAAATGGAGATAAAAATGGGTGATGTCTTTCTAGCTATGTCCATCTTTGTTTGTGAGTCCATCCACAAAGCTGTATTAGCTGTAGAGGTGCTGTAGCTGTACTGATGCCCATGGAAACCCAGTTACCATTGAGGTACTTCAAAATTTCTAATTAAGAGACATTTAAAAATGACACCAACAACACAAGAGATGGAAATTGACTAATTCCAGTGTTTTGTTTTGTTCTTTTTTTCCACTGCTTTTTAGAAAAGACATTATGTTCTGTTCCAAGTTCAAGATTTTATTATTATTCAGTGCAATAATAAAAATTATATTTGTGCTTTCATCTTTGCAGATGAACCCTGCTGACCCTGCAGTTAAATGTTGGCCACCTCCAACAACACTCAGAGACAACTTTAGGTGGACTTATGAACTGTTAGGTGTGAGGTGGCGGTTTTGACTGCCTAGAATGGAAACACTAACAAAATACACAAGTGGAGTCCTGTCGTTACTCCGTTGGTGGACGCACACGATCACGATGCTGAGCTATGAGACAAACAACGCAATAACAGACGGACTGAGAGAACAGAGTAAGCATTTCTTCAGTTTATGGGGAAACAGCAGAGGCGGCAATGAGAGTCATGTTGTTGATGCTTATGTGGTCACACGCAAACCTAACCATCATCCCTTGGGATATCCTTAAAAGAGGTTCAGATGCTGAGCGAAGAGAAGATTTCCCCCACTGACCCTGCAGAAATGAAAGGGTGTAGCAGGTGGTATCACATCAGGAAATTATCACGCACTTTGCATGTGGATGTTTCACTTAGATCAGCATTCTGAATATGTGATCTGAATGGGCCAAATGGGCCAAGCAAAGAGAGAGTCAGAGTGTCTGATTTTTGTTCTCATGCATGTATATGTGCCTCAGCTCTGAGCTTGTGCCTCACTATGTCAGCTAAGAACTGTGGTCTGTCTAACTGTGATTCTCTGGGTCTATCTCTCCGAGCAGATGTACTCTTTTCTGCTCCACAGCTGCATCCCACATGTTTTCACGCTGCTTGACAATGCACGTATATTATCTTCTGCTCGGAGCTCTAATGTTAGTGGTGATACTAGTGGTGGTGGTGCTGGTGGTGGATGATTCCTACTATTCTTATGGCCCTGATCTGCCCTTAAACCAGAGTTAAGCAAGTAGCGCTCCGGCCCCGCTTTGGTCCTGAAAAATCTCCAGTTCTGTAATGTAAAGAATGTAGAAGGTAGGGGGTCAGAACTGGCAGGGTCTGCCACAGCTTCATAGCACACTGAGTCATTTCCATAATTGCCCACAATCAAACCAACCCCTCTTGGATTCCACCCGCTCCAGATTCCTGTAGATAAGCTGTGCCGCAGCTTTGGTGAGTGCTGGAGACCCCCAAGTAAGAACAGGTGCCGCTAATGTAACTGATTTCAGGTTTTCCCAATGTTTCCCCGGTAATTGCTTTGGGTTGAACAGTCCCTTTTGGATTGCTTTAATGTGACTTTCCTGAAGAGCGGAATGAAAGAGGGTTTGTCCCACATTTGGTATTATCAGGAAACTTTAGCCAAATTAAGATGCCTTACTGTAAGTACGACTGTACAGGAACAAATCACTGGGCATCAGATCGTTGTGATTGATTCGCATTGTAGCCAATTTTCCACCGCCTACAAGAAAAGTTCTGCAGAGCAAAGACCTTTAGACCATAAACGAAGTCAAACAACCCATGACACAATATGCAATGTGACGTTTCTCTAATGCTACAGTCTCTTAAGAGATATCAGTCGCTGCCACAGCGAAGCCATTCAAGAACCGAGGCAAGTCATTTTTGACATGACTGTTCATTAACTAAAATACGGTGAGAATCTGTATGGGGGGGCAGACAGAAAAGTAGTATAAAAAGGCGCAGGTTGATTGTTTTTAACAAGTTTAAAAGACCATATGCAAGTCTTTACGTAGCTAGTAATTACTGCGTATTAAAATAGTCACTGGCTAGTTTACCCATTCTTAAAAGCCTGCGTTAGCCTTCCCCAGAACCGTGCAGGTACAGTTTTAGTAAATGTACCTTAGGTACACCACACTACATCAGAAGAATAATACTTACTTGACGTACAACTGTAAAGGTTTTTCATATTTACGAACAACGACCGCCGTCTTAGGGAGGGAATTCAGGAGAAGTTTAATAGTCTATTACATTTCTCTCTCGCTATTATCAAAATAAGTCATTACACTGACGTGATAAGTACAGGAAGGCAGTGAATAACGAGCAACAGTCGTTTTAATCGCCTCTACCGTCGAATGAGCGTTCGGTACTTTACTCCCCCCCACCACCTCCTGTCTCCGTCCGCCGCTCTGCCAGGTAACCGTTTACCTCGACGTGGACGCGACTGTGGCCACACGCGCGCTCCCGCGAAGTCATACGTCACCGTGCTCGCTCCTCTTCTCGCGCGCTGGTTAAAAAGAAGGAGGAAAGAGCACGGGAAAACATGTGAGCGCTCTGAGGACTTTAGTGAGAGGCAACTTTTATTTTTCTTATATGTTTTTTTACCTGTGCATGTCCAAACTGCCGTGCTGTGCTCAAAAAGGAATTACATCTTAAAGGAACGTCACGGCTTTATTTTTTGTATTTTTTCCACTTCCACTGTTTTGCGGGTTTTGGCTTTTTGTGCTCATCAGGATAAACTGTGTTATTATTTTTGCTTTCATATTGTTATTATTATATTATTTCAATTTTCGGAGTTATACTGTATAACCAGAAGGGAAAAGTAGGGCTAATTTATTTTAAACACCTGTTTTCATACTAACGAATCACATTTAGAACACCTGCGTGTACAAATTTGACTGTTGTTTTTTTTTTCTTGCGTGGAGAAATATATACATATAAAAATATAGTGCACTCCAGGTCAACATCTCTCTCTCTCTCTCTTTTTTTTAAAGGGACGCGTTTTGTTTTATTTTCTATTATTATAATTAATATTGTTGCAAGCGTATTTTATTATCTTTTGAGACTATGAAGCATTTGCAATTTGTGCTTGTGCTGGCCATCGCGGTCAACGTGTGGGAATGTGGGGACGCAAAGTTTGGCGAGAGAGGAGAAATGAGCCCCAGGAGAAGAAGATGTTACGACGGAAGCTTGCCCAAGCGGCTGAAGAAAAGGGAGCGAAAACTGTTGCTTGACGGCAGCAGCGGAGGAGAAGTTTGCCACAGGCTGTATCCTCGCGTATCCTGCTGCCCCACCAGGAGAGCCGCCTATCAGATCCTGCACCGCAGGGATCCCAGGGTAAGTTAAAGTCCGTCCGCACACGCAGCATTTTCTTCTAATGAAAGGACTGGCTTCTTTTTTTTTTTTAATTATTATTGCTAAGGCACCTGAGGACATGCATTTACAGCCTTTGTGTATTGTCATTCTGCTTCTTACTACCGACAGCTGAATTTGAGGATGGCAAGAGGAAGTTGCCTTGGGCTATGCTGCCAAGAAGAAGTCCTAATTTTTATGTTGCTGTGGGAAAGCTATTGTAGCCTTAGTGGTAGGCGACCTTTAAATAGCTTCAGATGAAATCCCCATTCATAAAACTGTAAGCATATGCGTGGCTTAATTTTATTTATTTATTTCCCCCTCTTTTCAGTATCGCTGTAGCATTTATACAATCTTCGAAGAACAACTTAATCTGCTTCTATCGGAGGCAGCCTTAAAAGTGAACAAAAATCCTGCTTTCAGCAATAAAATGTTTACCAGCTTCGCATAATACGGTTCAACTCTAATTCGGTGTGTCCAATCCGCTTCGTTGTTACCATGGCAATCACTCGCCCGATTTACGTTACTTCGACGCTGGCCACAGTGAGCTCCAGCCGCCGGCTGAGAGTGACAGAAAGAGGCGCTAGGTAACTAACTGTTGAGCCATTTACCCGACAAGGTAGGAGTTCGGCTGTACCTTTTTTTTTTTAAGTCAGCCGTCGACCTTTTTACTGGAACTGGAAGCTGATAAGGATTTTTCCCCTCTTGCCGGCTGTTTGGCAGCCGTTGGTTCTCAGTGGTTTTCAGAGTTAACGCTCAGACGTTTGTTTGTCTAACGTCTTTTAAGTGTCTCGCGCTCTTACGTTCCACTCTTGACCGTTATGGCGCCAACCGAGGTAATAATGTAAGTGTTAAAATGTAATGCAGCGCAAAACTCAGGGGGGGGGGGGTTAATTAAACCGCTCTTCGGAAATGCAGGAAGGAGAAAAAAAACCCAGCGAGTGTATGCGGCCAAACTTGTAGCAGATTCCTTTGGATCCTCACCGGGCCATTCTCATGTAAACCACCCCTCAAATCATTCAGTGGCTGGGTGGTATCTCACTTTGTGTTGCGACAAAAAGCCATATTGCATCATTTAATTTGCTCAAGTCATGCAAATAAGAAGGGGGGGGGGGGTCGAAACTGAATAGGACAAACTCGACTTCTCCTCCTCCCAACTACACTGCCCACACACGGAGCCCTTTCTGATTATGGCAAAAGAATAACAACAACACCATTGTGTTTGTTGGTTTCACTAATGGGAGAAGCTGGAGAACATCATTCTCCCCCCAGTCATGAGCCCCTGTCCAAGTGTTAATGCCTTTGAGAGGGTGCGTGTCTTTCACTATATCCCCCGCAACAAACTTACACCTATTCCCTGAGGACAAGTGTTTTGTTAAAGCTTAGTGTTGCCTACCTCAGTGCTTGTCTCCCTTCTCCTATCCCAGTCTCCCTGATTGTGTGAGGACTGTCCAGATTTATTTTCTATTTTTTTTATTCCAGCTGAATCGTATTTTACATTTTCATTTTTTTATGTGTTAATGTGTTTCTTCTGTGAATTTTTGCTGTTGAGTCATGCAGATGCGATCATAGAAGGAGCAGCTGTTCTCCCACACGAGGCTGAGCTTTGCAGGTGTGAAGGGAGTTTTAATAAATAAAAAAAATGCAATGTAAAAATCTGAAATGACAGGGGAGTTAAGTTACTCATGATTTAATTTTCCTACCCCATTGTAGTTCCACTTTTTTTCCGATTGTGACTCTGCTCTTGATCTCTGTGAAAGTGTGACAGCTGAGCCTCCTCGTTGCTGTTTTCTCCCTGCTTTTTTGAGGCGTGTACTCACCAAGATTGAGCGAGAGACAACAAACAAAGGTTCACTTGTTCTGGTTTGGATGATGGCAACATTGGAGCCCATCCCAGTAACATATGGACACAGGGCATGGTTGAGAGCACACAAATGCTACTCTCTGTAGACCTTGTGCCAGCCTATGGCACGCAGAATCAATGGGCAATTTAGAGCAGGAGAGCAGGCATGCCCGCAACACTACATGGCATGAGCGTAGAGGATACCGAGACAGAGGAACACACTGTACATACAGCGCGGAGCTCCCTTTCGGAAAGGGGTTAGATAAATTGCAGGACAAAGATACCATTCAGTATGATTCTGTCTTTGTTTAGTCCCATTACATTGCCTTCTATGAATTGCGATTTCCTATTTGCATGTCTGAAAGTGTATTTCACCTGTTGGGCAAAATCAGCACTGTACAACTTCTGAAGAGAAAATCTGTTCTGCAGCTTCAACTCGCTCTGCAACTAGAGTAAAGTGTAAGGTGTCCATATGTTAGCCTTGGGTCCCCTGGTCTAATTGACTTCGACAGACTGCTAATTTGTTGATACCAGAGAGGGAATGATGTGCCTGTCTATCTCTAAATTGGTGTTTACACATGGACCTCACACAGAGCAAAGCACTACCAGCCTGCTGCCTGCAAACAGCACTTGACCTAAAACAGATTACATTGTGTTTTATTATAGCTAATTTGTTATGTAAATAATCCTGCTAATTTCTTTTGGATGAAGTCTATGTATACCTTTGCATAATCACCCCAAGTCAGGCTTTGAGGCGCTTATTTGGTTTCATTCATTTTATGCTTTGAAATTTGTCAAGCGTGGGTATCGTAATTTGATTTTAAATGTTTGTGAACTTGGTAAGTAGGCAGAGAATGAGATGATCTTTTTGTTTATTTCTGTATACAGAAAGGGAGGTCAGACTGTAGGCTTGACAAGTCTGTACAAAAGGCGACTGAATAAAAAATGTTGCAATTGTATAGAAAATTTAAGCATGTTGAGTATTTCAGCAAAAGACAAAAACAACTTTTAGATCTTTGTTAGAATTCACTTTTATGAATGGGATCATGCAATCTCCAGTGGGAGAACAAGGA